GAACTTAAACAGATTCTTCGTTGCACCTGTTTTCGAAAACGTTAAACACGATAAATTTCTAAGTGATACTTAAAATGCAGCCTCTACTGAAAGTATCCTTCGACAGCGACCCAGTAACAACTGTGTTTTCCAAAAGCGCGAACCATGTGTTGGGTCAAGAATTTATCATGGGAGGCGCCATATATACTGATGTGTAAATGATGATGTGTCAATTTATAACCTGTGAGACGGCAGTCCCGTGGAACCGTGCAGAGGCTAATGAGTAACTTCACCTAACTGAGGCGGTAGCTCTTGCTATGCACACCACGAGGTACTTGGTATAGTAGCAACGGCATCTGAGGATCGTATCTTCGCTTTAGACCTTCCAAAAAAGCAAGGCCGCACACTCAAGGGGTGTGGATAGGTAGAGTTAATGCCTGATTCGCAAACGGCGGTTACAAGTGACATGTATCATGTTTTGATTTTTTTAATTTATCCTCAGATCTATCTTATTCAATGTTATCTGTCAATGGGGGGGTGCCAAACCATTTGGGGTTCCAGACCCCACTTCTTTTTTAATGTTTAAATTTTAAAATTTAGATATAATAAAGCACAAATCTAAATTATTCATCGCCGTAAATAAAATCAATTTGTAGTAAACCTTCTTAATTGAGGTCATTGTATTAAAAAAACTTAACCTAACTTTGGATTCCAAATGGCTGACTTAAGAATAAAGTCAGCTGCAGAATGGCCACTTGGGTTTCAAGGTTCCAATGACTTTTTATGAATTACATTGTTCAACCAATTCCCTAACTTACTTCAACCGACACGTCATGAATATTTACCCTGATGAAAAACATTCACTCCTTGAAGCATTTCTTCTGGTAACACGCAGTAACATATTGTTCACGTGACAAGGGTCCTTGAGTATGTCTGCTAGTGCAATGCGCAACATAATGCGCAGCATAATGAAATTTGAACTTCTGCGTTGAAGCTGAGACATTGTCACACCTCAACTTGTCCTCAAAAAAATCAACTTTCAAAGACAAAGAGGAATCCAATATTTGGGCTACAGACAGTGGCGTGACTGGGAAATGTTGGGGCAGGAGGGGGACAGGGGCGCATATTTTAAAGGGTCACTGAAATCAAGCGAACTTTGGTTTTCTATTGAGATGGTGTTCATTTCAAGATGTCAAACAGTGGGACACCAAACAGCACGAACATCTACCAGGCCACTGTGACAGAGGCTACAGAGTAATATAGCGACGCATGTATTTTAAAAGTAATTAAACATCACGTCGCAGTGAACTTTGAAGAGTCAAAAATGACACATTTAGGAGACATTGTCGAGACATTTCAAAATCATATTTTCGTTTATATTGCTGTTTTCATCCTAACCCTTTTGCTGTTTTTTAAAATCATCCGACGGTTTCTATGAGTCAAATCACAAGGAGTCTTTCCTCAAACGCTACCTTTTCGTAAAGCCTCGGCAAAAAATCGAAATCTACAACATGGCTGAAGGTTCCGTTCTAGCAAAATGCCCAAGTGTCTAAAACAGAGTGGCGACAGGTGTCCGTAATTTGCACGGACTGCTTATTCAAAGCGAGGACCGCCGCATTCACAGTGCGATGGCAAGGCTTTTTTGTGAACTGATATTTTATAAGCCCACTGACATCTGTCAAGTGTCTCATCAATCAAACTTTCTAATCTCCAGCTGCTGCAGAATAATTAAATCTGAGGTCTAAGTTGAAGATTTTTGTTCCTTCGAAACGGCTCGCGATTGACTTGGTAGTTTATGTCGAACAACTTTTATCTCGCTTATATAGAAATGCTGTTTTCCAAAAATGTCACTGTATTTCAATTTCATAAGCAGGTGCTGGAATAGTGACACCAGTGCTGAGTGTGGACCTCTCGTGTTTCAACGTCCATCTTCTTTTTCAAAATTCCGCAATTTCTCCCGAAAAAAATCTCAACTGATTTCCTTTGGCGTCACTGGTACCACACTTCTAATTAGCTTTCTGACAAGCAAGCCTTAGAAGCTCATAATTTACGGCTTCGTCTTGAATACAGGGGTACCAGTGACGTCATGGTTTGCCATGCCAGAATGGCAAGGATTTGCGCACTACTGATCAAGTTACTAAGACGTTTTGGGTAACAGGGCCTCCAATTTTGTTCCAATGAAATTGATTAAAGAGTTACAGCACCTTGGGCGCATATGACGCAATCGATCATTAGCTGTTTTGCAAGCTGGCGAAGTAATATGAAAAATTCCCAGAGTAATGGAAATCAATCCCTTTGAATACACAATTCTTGCGTTTCATCCATTAGAAAGGATATGCCGTCCCCACCCAGTTCATACGTTTCTTCTATTAACAACAAAAAATTGATTTAATTGATTTCACCTCCATTCACTTCAAATGGTAGGGTATTCTGGTATTTTGGTGTGTCGGGCATTTGACGACTCGAAGTTTTTTTAAAATGAGCTCAAAGTATAACTACATTCAGACTGATTAGGACTGACTTTTGTTTGTCTTCAATCATGAAACGTGGGTAGAAAATATTGCTTGGCGTCTACACTTATGGCTGCAGGTTCGTACCAGACATGCTGGACAGGTCAACCTGAAATGTTTACCGAAGATTTGAAGCCTAGGCATCAGAGTCATTGCTTTCATCTTAATTGGGAATGGCAAATACAAATTTAACAAGACTGGCGAATTTCCCGTAAGAGAAATCAAATATTGACAATACTTGACACAGATTGATCAAGTGTTTGCCCCGGTCTTGTTCAAGGAAGAGTGGTTTAGTTGACAGCTATCCCGTTGTATTAATTCGTGGGCATGCTTGAATGATACTGTTTGTTTAAGTCCGATCATCCCGTTTACAAAGTCAGATTTCGATCAGAGATACAGCATTTTGATAGATCGTGCTCGCAATTATGCCTCAAGTCTGCTGATGAAACAGTACAAGACTCTTGTAAACGTAGATCATGTGAAGGAATGCGCCTGATGTACGGCAGCATTGTTTTGGAATGAAGATTAAAAGTTGAAGATTTGTGACGAATATAAAGTTTCCTTCAGTCAGGGGTTGTCGTGTTGAGTTCTTTGGAGATGTTGAATTTCGTTTTGCTGGTATTCAAAGAACTTTGTCACGCATTGAAGAGCGGGCAAATGTTCAAGATCGGCACGATCTTGTTATTTTTATATCTGTTAATAAATACGTGATTGTATTTATTTACAAAAAGTTATTATTTTATTTTTATTCTTAGTGTGTGGGCTTTTGCTTTATCACCTGCGATGTAAGAAATCAATGCAGAAGTTGGAAAGTTCAACCAATTGTTGGCGCTTACTATGATCTAAAAGTGAATTATTTTGTAATTTTCTGGTTCCATGTTTCCGTAAGTGATAGAAACGAATCTAAGATAAAACTTATATGTTACCTTCAGCGATAAATTATCACTTGTCATTTCAAAAAATAGTTCTTAAGACCGAAAGGACAGAGAACGTTGTCTGTTACAACCATTTCAGAGTGACAATTTCAATCTCAGTATAGTTTATTGCTAAGGTGTGCACATATAGAGATCGCAACATGGGCTATAAATATACCCCAACACAAACGCCAAAACTAAATAACCTCAGCCTCAGAGAGGCCACCAATAATTTCAGAGGTCCTCCCCTAAAGAAATCCCCCCCCCAATTTTGGTTCTGGATGCACCCTCGATTGGGTAATTTTATTCCTCCATGGTTGAAATTTGCTAACCGTTTTTAACCAATAAATATTATTGCCCGGATAATGTGTTACAAACTGACTGATAGAGAAGACGGATTGGTCTTGTCAACATTCAGCAGAGGTTTCGCCAGGGGCTCTATCACTCAGTGTGTTTGGTTTATCCGAGGGTAAATTGGATCCAGAGTGGAGTCAGGGTATACGTACCCCAGGTTTGGTGGGTTGATCAGCATCATGGTTTTGTGTGGGCCAAAAGGTGTTGTGCGAGTCTTTCTACGAAGTATTTTAGCAATAAAGGACTGGTATCAGGTCTTCTCTGGATTTTGATCATGAATACAAATGACCACATTCCACCTGCAGCAAATCCAACATTCAAGCAAATATTAGAAGATCTAGTTTTATTTTTTTATTTTTTTATTTATTTATTTTATTATATTTTATTTTTTGGTGGTTACTCTTTGGCTGTTTTGAATTTTTTGTTACTTTGAAATTTGAGGGAAAACTGTCTCATCTCGTTCCTTGCTTGATAAATGTTTAGAATTGTTCATTAATCACATGCAACGCTGTAGTTGGCACTGAGGAATATATCATCACTATCAATAGACTTACAACCCATTGAGTTTTTATAAATCGAACAGTTCAATTTAAAAAAGAACTCAAACAAATTTAGGTATCTATCTGTTTTATTTTACTGTACGCAAAAAAACAACAATTTAACATTGTTTGCCTAGCGGTGTGGCACTGAATAAATCGCGAATAAGGTTAATAACTTTGCTTGCAGGACCAAGTGACAACTTGTGCCTGTATGTACATATATGTCCATCGGTACTTTTCTGAGTGGTTAAATATTAGTAAGTGGTTAATGTTAACGCTGACCAAATAACTCACCAGCGGCAATTTATTAATTGTGGTGAACAGTAAGCGTGGCTACACAGAGAAGAACCTGCACGGAATTGAAAGTGGCATTTTGGTAACGCCATGCCATTACATACAGCTGCAGCTTCTGCCCACTGATTTATAAACATGACGAAAAAGGCTAAAATGGACAATATATGTACTTCAAATCGTGCTTTCCGCCACTCGAGAAATTGAAAAACTGAGATATGGCTGGTTGCCAAAAACGGACGGTTTGAGGCAATAGTATTACACAAGAAAGCAACTGCAAGAGAACTTTATGAATGTTAAGCATTAAAAGTAAGTTTCTAGAAACATAACTAAGGTAATTCGCATGTTTTACGATTCTTAATCCCAAAGGTACACCGAAGGAAGAGTTATGAGTAAAAGGATGAATGACTTACAGAAGGTTTCTGTCGGCAAGTCCGCACACGGCATAAGCCCGTCTTCACGCCTGAACAGCACCGGCAGAAGCTATGAGTACACAAGGGTCGAGCCTGGCCTGGCCACGGCAGTTGGGGGAGCATTGTCACAATGGCATCACCCGTCACCGACCATGTGATGCTCCAATCACAGCCCGGTATTCTGAGTAGGTGCGCAATGACACGGGAGGGGGAGGGCTGAGCGGCAACTTGAAGGGCGAGTCGTTTTCCACCCTCGATCCCAAGGTGCCGAGTGTAATAGGCCAAAGTGCCGCGCCGTGCCGGTAACCACGAAACGCCCGTCTGGTGGATGACTTGGAATAACTGGACCAATAGTCAGTCGGCTTAGGCCTACAGCCACGTAGCAGCACAGCTGGCAACGACATCAAAGGGCAAATAAGGGTATGCCAAAGAAATCATTGTTGAATGGGAAGTAGCCGCATCCACCGAAGAATGCAAGCAAGAAGAATATTTTAAATTTCTCTTTCAATATTATCTGTTCGCCGTTGAGGTATGAAGTTTTACAAACTAGATTTATAAACTGCTTATATTAAAGCTCAAACAATTATTGAGAAGATGATGAGATCAGCTCATAGCAGCGGAACATCTTGAAAACAAATAGCAAACCTCTCTATCAAACAAACTTTAAAACGAGATAGAATCGGGCTTCTGGAAAGAAGCTTTCATTACAAGCGTCTTATTAGAACAGATGACACTGTAAAAGATTGCCAGCTGTGTCGTTCTGTTTCTTTCTTTCCTCATTTTTTCTCTCGTTTAGTTTATGGTCTGCATGCATTGTACCAGGCTCTTCAATGTTAGACTAGAAAATAAACAAGAAAATTTAATTCTTTTGACTAGAATTTAACCACTCTCCAAAAAGAACGCTGATTTGCAGAGTTGTGATTGAACACCAATATTGAAGGGGGTTCGTTCAAAAAGGCCAGCAATAAAGGTGGTTTGAATACAGCAAAGGTAAAAGTAGAGCATAGTGTTGTGTGTACTTTGCACACGGTCTCTTAAAGGTCTCGTCTTTAGTGTGCTAAAGCCAGTGATGAAGGAGTGATGGTAAATTGAGTGTACCAAAAGACAAGCCACCTCTTACCATTCCTTCATCGTCTCTGTTCCACTCCTTCAGATGTGTTTATTTGGGTTATCTGTGTTGAAACGTAAACCATATATGGGCCCCTGTTGAGAGGAAGCTCTACCTGTGCTCTGGAAAAAAGCTCCGTGCAAAAAAGTGGGTTGAGAACAGAGAGCATTAAAGTCGTGCAATCAGTTACAGACAAGCGTCTGTCCTTCTGAATGAGCGACCCTACTCAATCTACGGAAGTGCCGGAGTCAACCAGACCAGTGGTTAGCAGGTGTACGGGAAATTGACAGAGACATAAAGCGGGGAATCGGGACAGTATATGCAAGGGGCGAGCCTGTGGAGCGATTGCAACATGTGAAGGAAGGGTGATGTGATAGATTGCTGAAGCAATCTTACGCACTATGGGCAACACAACTCAATCTGCAACGTGAATAGATGCATGCCTATGGTTGATGATTATCTACGACGTTTTGTGCAGTCTGGAACTGACGATTGCTGTTGGGCCGATAGATAGGCATTTAACCCGTTTTCAACGATGTTCGATCATTCCAAGTCAACCAAAGACATTAAAACACCTTGAGCGAATTGTCCACATCGAGCCAACTTGGACAAATAACACGGTCACAAGTATCTCCATAATGACACGTTCACACACTACAAAAAATGTGATTTCAAATCGACACTGCTGGTGTCCATTAAACGCCGTTAGTTATTGAGTTTACAACGTTATGGGATTTAGTTGGAACTATGTAGGGAGTGATCCTGAGCAGATGCCACGCGACGGTGTAAATTCTCAGTTTCTGAAGTTAAAATGTATCCCTTTCAAGATTTTGAAAATTTTAAGGTTTGCATATACCTTTAATGTAACTGAATGTCTCTGCGTATGTGAAGACACGTTGCGAGCTGGCGTTTAGTGCTTACCAAAGCGATCCTGTCCGTCTGGTTTGTTACGAGCACTCTTTCTACTCGGAAAATTGAAACGAAATCGTGCATGGCCTATTACAATTCTTCATTCGCGGTTGCGCGCGAACCGCACCATGGGATCGACGAATCCCGCCGAGCCAATTACCACCGTCGTGACGGGGGGCAAGAGGAGGCGGAGTGGATGATCCGACTCGGAAATGCAGAGGGTAACCGAGCTGTCATTTTCTATCACGAAAAAGTTGATGGATCGTTTGAAAGACGTCAAATGGTTGAAAGTGCCGTGTCTGAAACACAAGAAGTAAACCATCAACCCCTTTAAAGTACAAAATACCTCCCGAGGCCTACTATGCTCCTCTACATCCTTTGCTCATCGAAAAAATGGAAGAGGTATTTTTTTTTCAGTCCAAAAATGATAATCAGTTTGGACTAAAAAGATAAACATTGGTGAGAGAGGGACTGAAACTAAACCACTCAGAAATAATAGTCACAGGGTCTTTCGCACAATCTGATTGAATTTTTGAAGGATGATTTTGCTGCAAGTCACGTCAGCCAAAAGCGTATGGTTTCTCACGTTGTCATTTGTGAACAGCTGACTGAAATCAGGATTTATTTGCGGATCTGTACTGGGCACCTTTGTGGTGTATGGTTTCACATTATTGTCAGTCTGACCTGTCTTTCCAATGTGTTAAGTGGGCAAAGTGACGCACGTTTTCTAGCGTTATTCCTGATTTGACACAAATAATAGTAAGTACACAATTATGCGTGACGAAAATATGAAACTGTATCGATAATCGATAGTCAGTGTTAAGGTTGGGTAACATCACTCATCAGACTTAAAAGTGACGAAATTCAGAGCCCTGAAAACACTAAGTTCAAAATTTGTTTAACATTAGTACTTTTCTTCTCTCCTTGACCAAAGCATATCAAATTTCCCCTGTAATTTCTCGCAGCTAACCTTAGCCAATACAAGCCAGAACTATCACTAAAGAACTAGATTTAATTCAATTTTCCGAGAGATTAAGCAGCATGAATCTGTTTTATTTTTATTATTACAAGTTTATTTTTACAAGTAACTCTTGTTTAATATACGTTTATTCGTATACTTAAATGGCAACTGAAGTATCTCATTTTTTTTTTCATTTCTGTTTCTTTTTTCCTGGTGGAGCAGTGAAAATTAATATTATACTAAATTCAGTTGAACCATTTTCCCTTGCCTTCTCGGTCTTACCACATGAACGAACGCCTCTCTCTGTCGGTTTGCACGACATAAATCTACATCAAATACCGTTAACAACGGAAAAATACCTTTTTGCAGAATTGGTCTTTAAACTCAACGCAGTAAATCCGGACCACCAGGAAACCCTTACGAATGTGACTTCGTTTTATTTGATGCAAGTTAACATACGTGCTCAATCTTCTCCATCAGTATCTGCCTTTTTCACACGCGTCGTCTTCTTTAAGAACCTTCCATTTAATTTTGAAATGAAGGGACAGCTGAATAGAATTTCACAAAAACGTATGGAATTTCGGAGACAAAAGCTTAAGCCTCGTCTTTTAAGATTGTACACTTGATGACTTTTTAGTGAAGGCTGAGCTTGAATAGACGTAAAGTCCGCGACGACTGCAAGTAATGATCATACCGAGATTTATTTCGACCTTCAAGACACAGTAGCATTTTATTACAGGAAACTTTTCAAAACAATCAAGCTCACATGAGCAGAATGCGACAGACGGGAAAACCGGGGAAAGAAAACGTCTGACTGACGAACGTGAAAAGTGCTCTCATGTGTTGCAAAATAGATAATCTCAGAGCAGCTGGGTGCGACCTAGGAAAAGTCAAACGCAGCGCTTTCCCCACATGCTGAGCTGCATTTGCGTTTTTCCTATATTTCATCTTTTGCGAGTGGGATGGCCAGTTATTGTCCACCGTGCAAAGATATTTGATGTTTGACTAAAACGTTGTTTTGACTTTATCATTGTGCCTGCGAATGTGAGCGAAGATCTATTCACGACAAAACCAAACGGAGAGATGTATAAAAGAAACCTGCTATAGTTGAAACTATATCTTCGTTTTTGTCTCCCTACCTGAACATTCAAGCAAAAATGTACAGGGAATGTAAAACCAAATAATATTGCATTCCAGGGCGGATTAGACCCCAAGACAAGCTCTCCCATCACAGAAATACCTTAAATGCAGTATTTGATACCATTTAATCAGAAAAAAACCACAATGTACACTCTACTCCACAATAGTTCGTCTAGCCACCAATTTAAAGAGTGATAGAAGATGGTGCTATAGAAATAGCCTAATCATAGAGCACGTGGAGGAAATGATCCCAAATGCTCCTACAATGTTTTTTAAATTAAAATCCCATCAGCAAAATAAGTGCACCAATTCTGGGTTTTTTTAAATTATTGCTCTCTGTTTTGTCTCGTCAGTCGTTAGTTCATAGTTTTTTATTTGATTCTTTATAAAAAAGACGTCTTGAAACTGTTTAACCCTATAGTCGAAATGACAAACTGTTGTTCATTACAATGTCAAATAACCAGGTCAAAGAATTCTCCTCTGTTTTGCGTTAGCAGACTGCGAAGAAAATAGATCTATAAATAACGATCTCCAGCTATTACTAATCTGAAGTATATAATGTCATCTCAGCATGTAAAGAGACCATTTTTTCCCGCCTAGACGTAACATCTGCCTTTTATACATACCTAATGCCTTGACGCGAAGTGCTCGCCTGAGGTGGTATGATCCAGAATGCTGTAGTTTATATTTGGACCGATTTACAGTAACTTAATTACGCGCCTGCCAGCCTGTTTATCTTTCTTCTTCCCCGTGGAGGGGTTTGAAGCTCACCTGTGTTCTAAGTATCCTCGTCGAGCCATGGTTGAACTGACGTTTCTCTCCCATTTGTTCGGAGCACGGACAGCGCGCACAGCACGAGTATCGAGCAGGGGGACTCAAACGACCACGGGTTATTTGGACGCGAAACGCATCGCGAATCGTTCGAATCGTTCTCCCGCGCGCGCTATTAAACACGGCTTATCTATGCATCGATCAGTATTCAGACGGTTGGAAATGAGGTGAGGAAAGCCGTTGGGGTGGTTTGATTGTTGATTTTGATTTCGATCGTGTTTTGCTAGCGGCAGTTTGCTGCCAAGTAAAGACGGGTCAGGAAAACACATCCCCATCTTGAACGATACGGCCCGTGGAGGCAAATCCAACGCTTTGTTTTGGATCAGTGACCCGGTGCGGGCGTAGCCTCGTTCTTTTCCTAATAGCCCATAAAGGGTTATCACAATATTTACAGAGTGCTGGCCTTTTCCGTAAGCTATAAAAGCGATTATCCTATCTTGTCAGGTTATTGGCCAACAATCATTAGGATATCATCTTGTATTCTCCTACATACAGAATACCGTATGTTCGGTGAAATTCAGATTGATCAGCAACTGTTGTAAAATATTCGGCGTATCGTGTTTTGGTGTTTGGTATTTAGCCAAGATTTCCGTTGATTTTCAATCATTCCTGGATCTTCTGAAACTCAGACACTGCGGAACTTTGTGCTGAAAATCTCCCTGTAATAGTTTTCCTACTTCAATTTCAACACAATTATTACATTGAGGACTATCTCATGCGATTGTGATCTCTCCAGCACTCCTGAAAGAAACTGGTCGATTTCCTCTCGATACAGGAAGACATGTTTTGCCTGCATGCTTTTAAAAGGTTCATGATATGAATTTACCTTGAACACGCTTCAAGCGTGGGACACAAAGTAGCATTTACAAGGGCTGCATTCTAAAAAGTAGATTGCATGTGCCCTTTAACGTTAACTGGATTTCAGCAACAAAGCTTACCAGGAATGCCAACAAGATGAAAAGTAAATCTTGAACACAGGCCTCAATTAAAATACGACACCACGTCAATTTCAACACTTTGATCACATTTCAATGTAGTCAAGCCGATCGAAAAATAAATACAACACACTGACAGAAAGGGAACATGAGGTATATGGTTTATTTATCTAGCCCAAGCAAAAACTAAATCTGAGCAAAGTGGGCCATGATGATTTGCGCATCTGGTCCTTACGAGTTTCGTTCTCCCTCCCCAGGGTCGGAACACATTTCACAGACATATGTGACAGCTAGATGCACTGAAAGTTGTCCATCCCTTTCGACGGATGAATTGCAGTCACTCGTCCGTAATTACTCAGCCAAGTATGAGGAACATCACCACCATACCAATGTACAAAAATCAACACCCTGTCGATATTCAAGTGTGGCAATATGATTTTGCACCTGTGTCCCATTTATCGGATTTCATGTGTACTTGGGAACGCAATTTTACAGAGTTCAGTTGGAAGTTGAAACATAATTGTATTTTCGTTGTAACCCGAGCCTCAACTTACAAACAGTACCCTTTAATCAGATGTAATACAATACTTGAAAATATACGAAAGCCCGTTTGTGCCAATATTTTTGGGGGTTGTTTTATTTTTGAATTTTTTTTTGGGGGGGGTGGTAATTTCTTTTTGAAACTTTACGAAAAGTTGGTAGGCGGGCATTGCCGTACTTCATGTCTATAATGTACAAGAACAATTTCAGGTCATAGCGGAAGTGCCGTTTTTTGATCCGTGGTTTCATTAAGGCCATGCAGTCTAGTTTTAGTAACTTGGATTTGGGAAATTTTGTTTATTATTATTATTTTGTTGAATTGTTTTTCTTTAGAATTTTTTTTTATTTATTTATTTTTTGGGTGGATTTGATTTGTGTGAATTTTTTTCATTCCCCTAAGGGAGCCCGTTAGTGGCAATTTAAACCATGCAAATACATGGATATATTTTTTATTGCGAAATAACGCAATAATAGGCCAAATATCGTTTTAGGATCCTTAAACGTACAATGATACCATGATTTACTACCAAAATTTAACCACAATATGTGATCATAACTCAAACCAAGAGAGAAGTAGAAGCTCACGAGTTCGCTTAATGTCATGCTTAGCTGTCCTTGATTACTGTTTCACAGGAATTCACCTGCACTGCTCACTCAAGGGCCCAGCTTGAGTGCGACCCGCTGCAGGTCAGCGAGAGTATACTCTCTCTAAAGGGGGAGTATACTCCTGCATGCGGGCATAATGTGCACGTATCCTACTCTTGTTAACTGGAGTAACTTCCCCCAAATGTCCGAAGAATTATTGCATTATTTCGCAAAGAAATTGCCTTGTTTCGCATTTGAAACTATACCTGTATTTGCATACTTCAAATTTGCACCAATGGGCCTCAACTTCCGTTGAGGGAAATGAAGGGAAAAAATATAAAAATTAAAACAATAAAAAATAACCAGTTTTCAAAAAAAAATTTTTTTTCAAGTTGGCACGAACCGGTTTTCGTAAAATACACACAGTTTGTGCATCAATGTGTCTAGACCTGGGTCGAATGCAACTATTACGATGATGTCTTGGTTATAGAAATATACCTGTAGTCAAAAGAAATTATCTTGAAAAGGAATACGTGTTCTGGAAACAAAGACGGTGATAAAATCTCCAAGCATTAATTTTCACTCAAGTCGACCACATATACATTTAACAAAGGTTTCCTGACCTTCAGGGGGATTTCTGTATTCACATTAACCTATTTGGCTAGGGTATGGGGCCAAATGGCGCGGTTGCCTTTCGATTCTGTGGTATTTGAGTGTTTGTATCATGTTTCTGCTGCATCCCGTACACCGGCCTGGCACGTTATAGAAACAGTCTCAAAATCGCATTGACGGAAAGCTCTCGAACAGGCATGACGTGTATATTCGATTAAAGGTCGCCGAAATTCGATTCTATTTTCCCCTGTACCCACAATCACAATACGTCCAGGAAGTTGGGAGTAAAAGTAACTTCATTAAAGCCCACAGCGCACTTCGTATCATCACACTAAACAGTTCCTTACGGTGCGACCAGAGGTGCCGAGGAAAAAAAATTGACAAATTGGTTCTTAAAACCCTGTAAGAAAAGCAGAGGACTCTGCTCTATGGCCCAGGGAGGCTGGAAATTTTAGCATTTTAGCATCATTGGAACCTTGAGATCAGAATCAAGGTTCATATAATGGAAACCTCGGCCACCAAGAGACCACTAGTGGATACTGAGCCATTGGACAACTGGCGACAGCACAAAGCTGTTCAAAATGAGCCCTTGTAAATTTTCAAGAGTTTTGCCAAACAATCTCCTGATCCACATCAAAGCTGATACCATGGTGAAATATTTTCGCACGTGATTTTCAAATGTCATCTTCGTGAAAACTTTCAGTAGTGGAGGCTCATTACACCTTAATAAAATTCCATTTTAATGTTATACTCATTTTTTTCACAATTGTATGCCATGCACATTTCCCTAAACAGGGAGGTATCCACTTCATTAATATGCGCTTTTCGATCTGGAACCTTGAGCTGATAAGAAAAAAATCAATTCACGGTTATTAATAAATGGCTGTATTTTACCGGCACGTTCTTAACGTCAGGCACTTCCGTAGGGCCAATTATTCTACTTCTATCCAATCATTTTACAAAGGCCATATTGTCCATATTTGGAAAGGGGCAAGGACCTTTGATACAAACACAAGTACATGTACTTCATAAATGTGCAAGGGAAATCTGTCGAACTAAATAGCAAAGTAAAAAAGGAACTAACAAAACGAGATTGCGTATCAGAGAGAACCAATTATGGCTGCCTTTAATTGGTGAATTTCAAATCAAATCCAACGTATATGAAAGCCATAACCTTCTCTTACTAAAAAAAAACATAAGACTAAATCGAAATTTCGAAACTTATAAACCAATAGTAGTTGACACTGGTCTCATAAAAACTAGTTTTTCACTTGGAGAAGGTTAACAACATAATATTTCCCTCGATCGTGCTGTGTTGGCTAACAAAAAAAGAAAGGTTCTGAGCACGCACTGACAAAATTTGATTTGAAACAAAATCTAATAAAAAAAGAAATAACTTACATTAAATATCGGTCGGGCAAAAACAGATTGGGGTGGTATTTGAAACTGCGACCTTACAAACTCTGTTTTCCGGAACTGTGCCATCCAATTCTCCACTGGCGTTGGTCTTTTCAGTGTCTGGTCAACCGGCCTCAAGACATCACAAACCCTTCCCTTTTGGGGCGGCCTGAAATATCGTGCGAAGTCACAATGCTGGAAAATTAACGACGCTGCAAACATGGTCAGTGACAATGGTCACTACATAGATCTTCACAAGGTCCTCCGTTTGTTCCGTCGACAAAAAGCTGCAGGAATCTTACCTTCAAGTTTTGTTCTATTTTTATATAATTTTTTATATTTTTTCCCAAAAGAAGCAGCTTTGATATTTTGTTGAATACAATCGATTGTATGATATAATACCTGATGTGAACATAATAGCCTATTTTTACTGTACATGTGTTTCCTGTGGAAGTATTATTAGCATTCTTTTTTTCTTTCCTGCTTCTTTCTGTAGCAGTGACGGGTACATGTAAAGGGATTCTACCAGAAACTTGCAATGGTAAATGGCTTGTAAACTGATTTATACAGCATATCCCCATTGCAAAATCAAACAATAAGCAGGCACAGCGTCAGGTGTATGTTGAACATAAGACTTTGCACATCTTTACCACACCTCATGATGATAATCACCTCTCTTCAGACAAGTGAAAAATTCGAACATTTTCCTCGGCAATTTCCGTACATTCAAAAATGTCTGTCATTGTATTAATTCTGGTAAGGATATTCATCTCAAATGGAAATTTGCCTTATAAACTATAAATGTTACCACCAATAATATATTTAGCAGAGTTTGCTGGAAGTTAGGCCTATATATAAAAAGCAAAAGGACTCTTTATTTCGTTACATTTTCGTAATAAGCTCACTTTGTAGTATTTATGGCCTCAAAATCCTTCACAGGTTCATTGCCGGTACGACTGCCTACTTCATCA